AGTCAAAGATTGGTCTCGTAAAACGCAAACCGAAAAAAGTCATTCTTGTACTCGTATTCGGTAAGGAATTCCTCCAAGTGGAATTCCATTGGTCCCCAGGTCTTTGGATGGAATTTTGCAGGATGAAAGGAATAAAAAAGGAAGGTATCAGCATGTTGTGTTAAATTTCCAAGACGGAAAGGTCAGACGTCGATCGACATTTCAAAGACCAAGTAAGAGTTGAAAACCGGCACGGACTATTGAAGCTTCACAATCTCTTAAGTCACTTATATGCTGCCGTAGCCACTTTCACTAAAAACCGGGAATTCTGGTCGCTAGACGGCTTTGTCAATTCCAATTTGTACTCAAACACCTAGAATTTTGAATAGAAGACAAGTTCATGGCGTATAACTAAGTGTTGAGTAGATTATATATATACCGTATCCGATGCTTTCAAAATTTTCTCAAGTACGGGTGATTTTGTATTATATTTGAATTTCATTTTTTCCGATTGTACAACATGACATTTGATACGACATGTGACCGATTGTCTATGACTCATCATTGTTGCCAATTGTACGTTCCTATTTGGGAAAACGTTCCGAGTGATTATCCCACGCATTCGTCCTCTAACACATTTTAGGGAGAAGGGAAGGGCGACGACAAGAATGGTTTGAATCAACAATACGGGCTGATCCCACTGATCTTAAGATTCCTTTAGCATGCGTACTACAGAGGCTGGTCAAAGAATAATCCATGACTTTCCAGATTGTTTCTGAACAGAGAGTTATCTATTCGACTCCTGAAGTAGCGCACTGGCAAAGACGCTTCACATTTGATTCTTTGGACTTCACACTTCTAGCGGGGTCTCATTGCAAGGTCTCAAAGTGTTCTCTATTCGGAGAGATTTTAAAGTTTTTTTGGAGAGGCTTCCTAATATCAATCTAGAATCGGACGAACTAGTCAATTATCGGTGATATTTGAACTCTGTATTTGAACTTAATTATGTTGTCGCTTGGGCCAAGAGCTCATTTCAAATAATTCCGTCGCTTTTCATGCGTTTCTGATGCATGGCGCATTTCACAAGATTGGATTTTAGGTGGCTTCTTTATACATCCTGAGTCGTTTGCCTTTCTTAGAACTATTGGAATGGGAATTATTCCTAGACAGTGCAGTGCTCTGGGAAAGAATAAATCTTATTATCGTAGTTCTTCTTCATCGGGATGCGCCATGCATTTGACCCGAATGCGAAGCTGCTAAGGTTCTCGGAGGCGTCCCTTGAGCCTTCATAGTCGACCAGGTCGGAAAGCAGTACCGACACGTTTCTGGACATTTGTTTTTGGAAATATTTGGTATTTGATTATATGGAAATGACCGTATGTTGGGTTTACTTGTCTTTGTTTATATTTTTCAGTCTTTCGCCTATGTTTATGTATTGAACTCTTTAGAACTAAAATAAAAATCCGCTCAGCAGGGTGGTTTCTCGATCCAACAAGTCAGGCGGATGAGAGGAAAACCTTTAGCAACGTTGCAGGTCTATCGTCGTTTGCTCATAATTTAGATGCATGGTCTCAGGGATGGTATCATCCATTATGCAGTCAGCTGCACATTGCTTTTTTCTGTAAGCGGCTCATTTTTCATGCACAAAAGATGGATGAGAAGCTTTTAGGCGCATTCTTTAAAAACTAGCTGACTACACTGAACAACCAAATCTTTCAGTGTCTGGCATGGAACGCGAATTGGCCACTTTCAGATAGGCGAGGGAAATGGCAGGGCAGAAATAGTGCCAGCAAACAGGGGAAGTGGAGGGGCCATCGGTTGGGGTTTGGTAGTGAAACTGAGGAGAACACCATTCAGGCACAAATAACTTCTCAAACCGACTACCACTCAAGCCAGCGGACCCTTCCATCTCTACGGCGTTGATCGGTACCAAACTTGTCTCGGATCGTGAATTTGGGATTGTTCATTGACTAATACCATCTAGGCATCCTTAAAAAAGTTCAGTTATATTCCTGATGAGTAGAACCAAGAATGTCAATCAGTCAATCAGGAAATCATATAAATCACACACGCATTCAAACGTCAGTGATATTCCATAAAGAAGCCGAACACCTGGCATCTATTTTCCCCAGACTCGCTTATGTTTCCCTCTAACTTCTTAGAACACGTCTGGCTGGGGATATTTCATTAGACTGTCCAAAGAACGGGACATTCACAAACCTTCCCGACGTCCATTCAGACTTTCATAAAGGATAAACTAGACAAGGTTTTGGGGCGTTTATTGAATTCGTAGGGATGTGCCCAAGGTTGCTCGACATGTACTCGGAATCGTACTGGCGTTTGAAGGCGTATGTAGCCTATAGGCCGGAGGACTGAAAAAGTTGGTCTGCTCGGCGACTACCATGGTCCGATTTTCGATCCCTATAGGACATGATATGGGACCACTTGCAACTGAACAACTTCTACCCACATAGCTTTATATGAAGTGGATACAGTACTCTCTGCGAATGAAAGGGTGGAGAACCTCCAACGTTTCAGTTGGCAATCGTTTCATTGGTGAACCTTTTTTGAGACATCGTTGAAGTTAAGGCAGAGGCTGCTCTGAGTACTCCTTTCCTTACATACATACACGGGGAGGCAGTACCCATGAGGGTAGCGGGCTGATCCTGCGTGCTGACTGTGATTTTGGATAAGCGATAATCGAAATTTTCTGGGCTAGAATGACGCTTCTAACTCCTGCACCATCGGGCTGACTATTATTCGAACGTAATTAGTCAAAATATTGTACAAAGTAAGAACTTTATTGTCAACATAATATCTCAAAACGTGATTGGACAATCAAGAAGCACTGAAATACACATTGATAAACCCGTTTGAATGTGATTTTTTGGTAAAACGAAAACTGTTCAAAATAAAGTTTCTGAGATTTTAGTAAAAAAACTGCTTTACAAACACTTTCCAGAGGAATTCCCCTCTGGTAAAATCGTCCAGTATGTAAGTCTTGAAAACGAGATCCTCTTCAGAAATATCTGCCCGCCTTTGCTTTAGATCACCGTACTGCTGACTCGATCAATCGGTCGAGAGGTTTCAAAGTCCTCTTGGTGATCGTAACTGTAAAAAGACAGGTAATACAATTTCGGAGAGAAAATGGGCAAAAAAATCTACGTGGCTGCAAAAATATCATGCTCAAAGCAAAAAGCTGTGTGAATCGAACACAAGTACACATGTGAAAGTGCAAGTGAATTTGTGACACGTTCCCTTCCAATACATATGCTCTACTCCGAAACAGCCAGCACAGGACGCGTGCGGTTGCGTCGCGGCGGCGATGGAAGATTAGCTTTCAATGGGCATTTGTACCGGAAGGAACGTGCATGTGAACAGTATGCTATGAAGGCTGTTTGAGAAATATTAAATAATTGAGCAGCAACTTGCCTATGTGTAATATAGTTTCCGAAAGCTTCTCTAAAAAATCAAAAATCAGTGGCATCTTCTGTGTGACATGTAATCCATCCATTGTCACAAGTTGGGTAGCAAATATGAAAAAGAACTGACAAGCAGCGGGTCGGTAATGAAAACGTCTTGCTACCTACGCAAAATCGGAAGTGAAGGAGGGGTCAACAATGAGCAAAGAGCAAGGAGGATCCTCTATGTCTAAAATACCAAGAATTTGGCTCATTCCTCGATTTTTACCGAAGCACGAACCGTAAATCAATGGGTTCAATTCGTAGAGCTGTAGTGACACTCCCCATTCTGCAGCTAAGTATTGACAGGCTCCAGACAATATGGATGACCCTTTTCTCTTAGTTTTCAGATTTTATTCTAGTGGGCTAGAGAATGGATATTTCAGGTACTGCCAATCGTCATGGTGTATCCTGGCCGTCGAATTCTGATACTTCTCCAACGGTAGACACTCGTCCAGACCAGTAAAGCGAGATCACCCACTTCCCACTCCATTGCCAATAGATGAGGAACACACAAGGAAACATATGGGGAACCTCCCCCTAAAAAATTGAAAAAATCGAAAAAAAAACTTACCCCTGTCTTCGTTTGTGGCGAATTAGAGCAATAGTCATTGCGACGACACACGTGAACCACACGTAAAGAGCAAGCCCAACGGCGCAAACGATAACAATCTGAAAAATATTGTAAATACTGTAATATAATCTCCTGAATCTTGACGCTAAACCATATTAACTTATTAAATAATACGTATTTTGTTTATGGCACAGTTCACGATAATTTTGGGTAACCCAGATTATAGCGAAAAATGGAAGATAAGATGGAAAATAGTGTCACGAAGGCGAGGGAACTGCGTGGGTCGGTGTTCCCGAAGTGAAAAAAGACTTTGAAAAATCGTTAGAAAGGGGGCTGGACGAGAATGAGACCAGAAGGGTGAAGAAGAGTGGGGCGTTTGAACGAGCTACACACCGCGCATCATTGCGTACTTGTGGGTACTAGTGCAAAGAGCTGACTATGGTAAGCAAAAATTCATTCACTTATAAGCATAGGTAAACAAGAAACCCTAGAAACGCAAAGAGAGCTCCCTTTTCCAGTCTTCTGGGGTAGGAAATTAAAAAAGGGATCGCGGCAGCAAAAAGTATAAAAGAGAAAAAAAGAATGGGAGAAAAACATCTCCTCATCACTCGGCGATTAGCTGATTGTGCGTGGGTCCTAGAACGAATAATAGCAATCTGTATTGTCTCGACACTCGTCTGAAGTGACATCGATCGAGAGGCGGGAAATTCACTCACGACAGCAACAGGGCTCCAACTATGCCCTGACCGTCGAGATTATGGGAGCGAGAGGGACCCTTTTACCACTCATGAGGGCCAGTGAGTATTCCTGAAGGAGAAACTCAGTAACTTTTTTTGTCGTGAACCGTGCCTTTAAATAAAGTCGAATGTGCGGCGCCTCCATCACACTGCGACGAGATCAACGCCCAAAAACATCACTACTACTTTCACCTTCCTCTAATATCTGTAGTGGTACGTTCCCCCTCCTACTTTGAACTACAGCTGAAGTCAAAATCTGAATAAAAGCGCTTCCAAGGTCAAGTAGTAATAGATCAGAAGTGCCTTACATGTGGTCCGTACACCCGTCGGATATCATTAGCTGAGATGAGAACTGTAGTTGCAATTCCAATTGCTAGGCAAACGTGTATCACCTGAAACAAAGTCGGATCTGTCAATTTTGATGTTTTATTCAATTCAGAAGAAAAGTGGCAATCTTGAGGCCACCAGCCTTATAATAGACTATATGAAAAGTATGTCACAGGTAATGTTTGTTGGTGTACTCCCTCATCGATGTTGGAAGTATCCTACATGTGCAGAATTGTTTAGGCAAAGTAAGTAAACTGATATATTAGAACATTGGAATTTAAAAGTAAGGTGCCTTCCTGAAGCTAATCGCAAGTTTTTAGAAAACAAAAAGATTGGAATTCCAGATAAATCAAGCAAAACCGGATTTATAATTCCACCACAAGTGAATTAACATAGACAAACATCGCCGGTGACATACTTGTTCATCTTTCCTGCATGATTAACTCGGGTGTTGATATTCTGTCAGAAACATCCGCAAATTGAGTTGAAGCAAGTTGAAAAAAATGTCATAAACGAATCAATATGTCAAGTAATTACCGTATTTAAGAGGAATGGTACTAATAGGTAATGCGTATCGATGAGTACGCCTATGATGAGGAGCATGGCGGTGGCAATTTGAAAGAGCACAAGGCCAGCAATTGGAGCTGTCACCATTGATTGAACTTCTGCGGAGAGGTTCCCTGATACCGACAGTAGGCAGCATATCGCTAAATTTGTACACGGTAGAAATAATAGAGTGTAATTGAAACAATATAGCAACTGATAAGGAATAAAGGATAAAGTTTTCGGCGATAATCAATCCCGTCTGAGGGATGCCCCCCGGACTCTATATCTATTCAGAATCGCAGTGGCGTAATGAGTGCGTATAAGGCCTATACAATGGCCAACCGATGTACAAGTCAGAGCTTTTATCCTCCCAGGCGACTCTAGGACCAATTCACCGACTTGACTAGAAGACTTGGTTGAACTAGGTGGGCATCGATCGAGGATTCGAACCCCTGAATGTGCGTGTGAGATAGTACGCCACTTGCCACTACACAACCTCCGTTCTATAGCAAATAATGTAAAAATTTATCACACCGCAGTACAATAAGTCTAACTGAACAAAATCGGAACAAGAGTTTTGGAGTGGATATGGTTTTGCCTACGATGCATCATCACCTCTGCCTACTCACTTCCACCGTCATTGGGGTATTGAAATTACAAGATCGTGCAGGTAACGATAACAAATAAGGGGAAGTCCCAAGCGAGAGCCTTACCTATTCGACATTTTCTTGTACCGGTACCGTATGTATTGTCCCCTCATTGCCAACGTACCTATCCAGTATCAAATGAAAGAGTTGGCAAGTGGGTCGGTATCCGTCTTGGCTAACCAAGAATTCCGTCCCTCGGAGACCTGTCAATCTGCACCAGACGCGTGTAGAGGGATCAGGGGACCGACTTGTACATGGGCTGGCCACCACAGGCCATTGCCTAAGTTACAAACGCATTCAAACACCGCTACGATTCTGTACTAGAATTGAATTAATGGGCACATTCTTACGAAATTCATCCTCCTTCCTCAGAGGGATTGGAGAGTATAAAGCGTAGAAAAGAACGAAACTAGTTGGGCAGTAAAGCAGCTTGTCAACCTCGAATAAATGAATAAATTTCCTTTTTTCACTCATAAATTAGTTTCCTGACATCCAATGTCGAATAAGTTTCGCTTCTTAGGGTCCAATATCGTCGGCTGTAACAGCTGCCATGTAAAGTTGTCTGTTACTTTATTATTATCAAGCGAAAATGAAATGAAAATTACGCAGTCAAGAGAGTACGCCACACCCACGGCTTATATACTTGATTGAATAGCCATTTGATTGAATATACATGGGAGCTGCGCAATAACGCGAAAGGCTAGAGCGAAATTTTCCCATTTACTCGGTTACCAATAAACAAACATATTGATAAACAATTTAAAAACTCAAGTAGCTTCTCGGGTGTTGAAATCACTTGCTTGCTTCGAACTTTCAAACAAGCTTGGAACCAAAAAATATATCACAAATCAATGTGAAGCTTTTGTAATTAGTGAGGTTTCGAGTTTTAAGAGCAGTAGACTCGTCTCAACCACTGCACCTATCCCGCCTACCAATATATGAGGGGGTAAAACATCTTACAAAGTAAATCTAACAATCGGAATAAACAAGAACTCGAAGTATTAT